CTCCGTCCACGCGGGATTAAAAATAGATGTTGGCCGATTCTCAGACCTACTCAATATGCTTACAAAATTTCATGAGAATCGGTCAAGCCGTTTCGGTGGAGTATGGGAACGAAAATTGTGACACGAGAATTTTATATATAAGATAACATCATCCCTGTCTTTGACAAGTTAGAAATAACAATATGTTTTAAATGGAGAAACTTACTTCAAGACAAATAGATAAATAAAACAATAGAACATGAATCTATGATCATAAAGATAATACATACAAGCGTGTATATAAGTAAAACGATAAATTGACTTTTTATGTCAACAGATGGCAGAAGCTTTGTCAGAGAACTAGACAGCGTAAGACCTAACTCTATTACAGTTAGCAAAGTGCGCTGCTAGAGATGTCTCAACGTCCATTAGTTGCCTAACTTTGCGTGCAGCGTATCCGGTAACGGTAGAATTTAGGGAGTCATTTGAAATACTCTCACAACGCAAATTTAATCCTTCATAAATGTCGTAAAAAATAAATATATTCTAAATTGAACTAGAGGTTTAAAAGAACAGTTGATTGGTCATCTTTATTTTAAAATTTCTCGCAGGTTTAAGACGGCTCAAATAGACTTATCCCCACTTTTGTCCATACCAATTGATATCACAATATGTTGTTCCACTTCTTGTAATTCAAACTATTCAAAGAAATAAAATAAATTCAGAAAACTGAAAAAAATCTTCGCAGAATCTCATTATTCAAATAAACTATCAAGTTCGTAACGATTAAAAATAATAGAAATAAATTCTTTCATGAAGTGCGCACTGATTCTTTGTTAAATCGTTCGTTTCGAACGACGGGCTTTGACTCGAGTCATTGAAACAGAGCGGCGACGATTACGTCGGTTTCAAACCGCAGAGAGTTCTAACTTTTACCGATAAATTAACGGGCAGGTGTCGCCGCGCAATCGACCAAAGAAATCCACTTTGAAAACACAAAAGTCGATGAAAACTCTCATACTATGTTTTACTTAAATTATCACGTTTTAATGGTTTAATTTGTCTTACAGACTAATATATCGATGTAAAATTCAGCTGTAAGAATAAAAAATGTTGGCAAAAAAGTAATTAGCCACCTGAGTTCGCCGAAATGGCGAAGCGACCCCTGCCCACAGACATCAGCAATTGCAGATACGTTGTCAACCTTTAATGGATGGAGGAGGAGACACACAGGTCCTTTTTTTTATATATAGAGAGTATTTACCTTTTATATGCATCGCCTTTGCAATCAAATTCCCTTTTCGAGAAAGAGGGCTAAAATTAATTAGGCCTCTGGAAGGCATCCTAATCAGACTATAGCCTTAACTCCACGCGTGACTTCTGTGTGCACGTGCAGAGCCTGCTCCTTCGTGCAACTTCTTGGTATATATGGTGATGACACCGCGAAATGTGTTTTATAAATTTGAAATAGTCTTTCTTCGTATTAATATATGATATCTTACTTTTTATTTATTCAAGCTTAGTACTCCATCTTATGCCCTGCAACTTCTCACGTATCTTGCAAATTTGTACACGTAGAAATACGCGAAAACATTTTTGTTAGAAATACGGCAATTACACATGGGAGTATATCATCCACAACCCTTTATTTAACAGTCCTCTCACGTGCGTACTGCTTATCATTTTTCCTTACTCGTAAAAGTTATGATTTTTTTTAATTTCTTGTGGTTTTTCCCAATAAACAAAAACTTTTTTTATCTTTTTTTCAACTATCGTGTCAGAGATTTTTTTATACCAAGTATAATTTATTTTTGATTAATTACGATTTGTTATCAGGCTTTTTAATATCAGTTGTAGAATATTTCTCCATAGCATCAGATTGGAACGTGACCTAAAATAAAATGATTTATACGTCAATCTCTAGAGAAAGATTTACGACTAGAAATATGAACAATCTCGATAACATCGGAATACACTATAATTGAATTTATTAGTTGCTTTAGGATGTTTTCAGAGCAAACGTTCTGTTTTCGTCAAGGTTTGTTTGTCTTCGAAGAGTTACTTACTATTGTTAGATAATCATTTGAAAGGAAAAGCAAATTTAAATTTCATTCGCTAAAAGTGTTTTATTCGATCCAGATAAACCAATAAGGCTAAGGTTTTATTTAATTTTTTCAAAAGAATATCTCAATAATGGAAATAGAACCTGTCAAATTGAACCTGTCTGAATGAACCTTAGTCTGGAAGAACACATTAGTTACATATAATTCATCATCAGCTCACCATATGTCCCCAACGAGGGGCTCGGCGCCTACCTTAAGTTAGGGGTGACTAGGACTAGACTATGCTGGCCCAGTGCGGGTTGGTTGACTTCACACATATCTTTTGAATTTCTTCTCAGATATGTGTAGGTTTCATCACGATGTTTTCCTTCACCGTATGAATGTCAGATAGATGTATAAATGTAAATCTAAAATCGAAAAACACATTGATACATGGCGGGATTCAAACCCGGACTTACAGATTACAAGTCAAGTGCTTTAACCCTTGAGCCACCGATGCTCTCAAGGTTACATATAAGTTTTTTTTTATTATAACTTCGCGGGGATGGAGTCGCGGGCAACAGCTAGTCCTAAATAAAACTTATAATACATATTTAATATTTCAAGGAATTCAAATATTCGTTCTTGCTGAGCTTATATTGGCTCTCTGCGCAACCATTCAACTTTTTGCTTCAAAGTTAACTAAATATTAGTAGTGGGAAACGTTCAAGTAAAGTTACCTCGTGGAAATTACTTTTTCCACTATGCTGGTTTTTCAGAAACTAATTTTCAAAGAGTTTCAATAATTTTAAAAATTTTATATTTCGTTAATAAAAAGCTTTAACCGAAGAGTAATATTTGTATATATTAATGTTTAATTATACTTTTAATACATAGCAAACGGTCAAATACATAACAAGAGTGAAGAAATGAAAATACACTTCTTATATTTTCTTATTCTCCTCTTATAGATGTTTTTAGGGTTCCGTACCTGGAAAGGACAAAAACTGAACCCTAATAAGATCACTTTGTTACCCGTCCGTCTGTCAAGACTCTTTCTTAAGGTTAAGGTTATTCATATCTCAATATCACAAATGAAAGAACGCATACTGGGGTAGGTATTACGAATTACGCACGGGAGCGTTCCACCGGAGATCCCGGAGCCCCGCCTATGGTACTAAAGAATGGCCACCGGGTTTTAGTGGATGAGAACCCCACATAATCTTGTTTCCCCCACAGGAGCAGGGTATTAACATTAATATATCACCCTCGATACCAAAAAAGGTATCATTGAGAATACACAGAAAGAAAATATTTTCCCTTCCCATGCATCCTGTCATCCTGAAAGTCCACTTCCACTTCCCATCCTTTCCTTATAAGAAAAAGGGTGGGATGAGGAAGAGGACTAAATAAGGCCTCCGGGACGCACACTGAACAGACGAAACGCAGAATTGCTTCCACTTCACGACTGTCTTCTGTGTGGTCATGGTATTTCACCGGGAGAGCAGGGCCAATTCGTGCGATGTCAAAGCGGGCTCTACCGCTGTTAAAATACTATACTATTAAAGTACTATGTTCACTAGCAGACTAATATATATTTTTGGAAATGTCTTCAATAAAATGCAATGATGATTGCCTACCTTAATTTGTATTTCTGCTATGATATTAGAAATAAAAAGTGTTTAATAAAAGCAATACAAAGTTATCGGCAGTAAACAATGTGGCAACTTTCCAAGATTTGCCAACAGAAGCAGCTGTTATGAACGCAGTGTAACGTGCTTGCTTAGTTTAATTGCATCATTGTAATAGTACTTTCCCGTCGCGGTTAGTCTACATTGAAACTTTAAATGTACAAACAGCATATAATTACTAAAAAAAAACTTTTATTCCATAACATTTTTTTTATATCTAAGTAAATTGCTATGATTTGTTTTTATCTATATTTTATATCATTTGATTTTGTGTGGTATTCTTTCCTAAGTGTGACTATGTATGTAATGTATCTATTATTTTGAGGACTTTTGTTGTACCGATATAATTGAATACTTTTGGTGTACCTATATATTTGCATATCTTGTCTGTGACGATCTATATGACGCTGACTGTACCAGTTACCGTGGGTTTCTGAGACCATTATCTGTATAAAACATATCGTCATTCCTGTCATTATCGTTGATAGCACAGAGATAACATTATGTTTTAATCTGAGATTTTGTACTCAGAAATCCACGGTCTTTTAATTACAGAAAAACAGTATCGTAACTGAATTTAAATAAAAATATTTTATAAAAATATAGTATATACTCTTGATAAAATAACTCTTGCGTAAATTAATATTTTTTTCAGGGGGATATTTGCGGTATACAGATAGTTTGAAAATAATGTTGAATTTATTCTCCTAGGAATATTATATCGTATAAAATCTGATTCCATTCAGAATTTCTAACAATAGGGTTATACGAAATGTTATCCACATTACATTGGTTATTTATTGTCGTGTGAATTATATTGTTACCAAGCGGTTTTACATATTTTTTAACTAATAAAATAAATAAAAACTATAATTTTAAATTCACATTTAAAAAGATTCCCTTGATTGTTTTTTTTTGGGCGACGCTATGCCGTCCTCTGGTTCCCCAACACAGTCTTTCCCAAAGTGGGCGATAACGCCTCCTTGTAGGCGCTCCAGGTGTCGAGTTGCGGGTTATAGTAAAAGGTTCATTTAGAATTCAATAATTAATTAATTTAATTTGAAGTTATAGTGGTTTTTAAATATGTGAAAATATGGGGCCGCTAAAAGATATTTATTCTCAAAGTGGGCAGTAGACAAAATAAGTTTGGGAACCACTGCCCTAACATGTGTGGGTCAGGGACCTGGGGTGCGGGTTTATTTTTATTTATTTAATAAAAATATAAAATACTCAAAATAAATCATTCTTAAAGCTCATTATTCTAGATTAAAACTGTTTAAAACTCTTTAAATATTATGTACATCCTTTGATTGTTTACTTCTTCGAGGTTAATTCACTTTCATTTTCCGCTATATTCGGATCATTAACTGTCTCTAAGAACTGTTTTGAAACTGTTGCTTTTTGTTTTTTTGGAATAAATCCTGAAATATAGGAAAATGAATCTTATTAATATTATAAATGCGAATGTTTAGATGGACGGATGGATGGATGTTTGTTTGAAGGTCTCTCCAGAACGGCTCAAATGATCGTGATGAAATTTGACGCAGATGTAGAACATAGACTGGAAGAGCATATAGGCTACTAATTAAGTTTTTTTTTAATTCCGCGTAGACGGAGTTGCAGGCAATAGCTAGTTATATATAACTACTTTGTGATAACTAGAATTATTTTTGACATCACAAAATACATATACCATACTAGCTGTCGCCCGCGACTCCGTCCGCGCGGGATGAAAAATAGATGTTGGCCGATTCTTAGATCTACTCAATATGCTCACAAAATTTCATGAGAATCGGTCAAGCCGCTTCGGAGGAGTATGGGAACGAAAATTGTGACACGAGAATTTTATATATAAGATTATGTGTATAACATCTTGAGTATTCCTCTGTTGCTTTGCATCTTCGGTATCAAAGCTATATGTAAATCATTAACTCGTTAATTTTATTTTTCAACTCTACTGTTTCTTGTTTATTTATATCTACAAACATACCTTTAAAAAGTAAAAGCTTGAATAATGTGTTGAATGGTGCATCAATAGCCACTGTCGCCACGAATGCAATCATCATTGTAATGATTAAGAATGTTGTTATGTCAAATATCTATAATAAATTAAAATAAAAAACCAACATAGATTTATTTTAAAACTAAACCTATGTATAATATATAATCATATATAATTTACATACTTTTTTATCAAAGCGTATTGAAGTTGTACTTATTTTATAATATCTATATATATAACTTTGGATTTTATTTAGCATTTTTTTAAATTTTAAGTTACATTAAAAACCCAAATACGCATGTACTTGACACCTATAAACTGAAAAATAAAGCATAATAAAAAACTTACCATATTTTCTACTGAGAAGTAATTTTGTACACTTGCAGCCGAATACTTTGTGGTGATTACAGTTAAATGTATCAAATACATAGCGTATGACAAACGTGCTGGTAACTTCCAGATATCAAGACATAGAAACCAGTTTATTGGTCCTTTGAAAAAAAAAAGAATAAAAAAAATAAAAGTAATCACATGAATTCTTCCTCACTTAGGCATTAGATTAGACCTCACTTATATATTATAGACTACTTTCAAACTGTTAAAATATCGTTGCTTAGGGAAATGGAATAACTAAAAATTTACAAATAGAACTTTTTAGTTCGTACAATAAAAAATAGTCAACACACAAAGGACTTTTGAAAGTTAGTAAAACACATATTGCTTAGTATCGGTAGTCCCATAACATCAGATAAAGCACTCATTTTGCTACTTTCAAAATAGCGAAGCAACTGCTGCCTACATCTCCAGCAAACGTACAGAAAGAGTCCCCCCTCCCCTCCCTCTCCCGCCTACACCGATTAGGAAAGGAGGGGAAAGAGAAGAGGACTGAATCAGACGAAACGCAGGATACTTCTAGTTCGCGTATATCTTTTGTAAGGTCGAGGATCACTGGTCAACCCATTATTGCAACAGATTTTATAGTTGTGTGTATAGTGTTATACTATGTTGAACTCTACCTTCCGTAAAAATATTGCTACAAGTACCTCCATGGCCTTTCTCAGAAGCAAAGATTACCCATCCAAGTCCCATAGCCCAAGCGGGTCTCATAAAGGAATTTAAAATGTTGTCCACCAATTGATTGTCCCAGTCTTTTTCCAAATTCAAACGTACGCAATAAATCATGAATCCAAGAAGTGCCAACGCACATATCCAAGTAATGAAAATAATTATCTGTAATTCCAAAAAGGTTTTTATGAAACACTATCAGCCGCGACGACGTCCGCGCTGAATTAAAAAAAAAACTTAATAAGTAGTTTATGTGTTCTTCCTGGCTATGCTCTACTTCCATGTTAAATTTCATCCAGATCCGTTGACCTCCTGGAGATTGTTGCTGTCTACCAATGTTAAAATAATGAAAATCTAAAAAATTAATAAACGTCTTTTAAAATACCTTATTAACTTGTAAGCGTCTTCCTTTCCATGTATGTAATATGTAACCAAAAATCATACCCACGAAAAATGGAGATGCGCGAGTTAGGGTATTAATGTAATAGTAGATATGGTAGTTTTCAATTTCGTTGAGGCTGAAATTATAATATAAAATAGAAATAAATTAAGAATTATCAACAAATAAAACGCAATTGAGTACAATTAACTTGTTCTTAATTTAAAATGAAGTCCGACTGACTTTGTACCAGCAAATAAAGCAATAGACATTCATAGACAAACGTATATACCCGCGGAAAACATTAAATGTCATTAGGGCATAAAATAACCTTGAATATACTCACTTTTGTGAAAATATCCCTGATTGAAAGTTCTTAACAAAATTATATGCAGTAGCAGCAGCTAACGATGTTAACAAACCAAGAGTTAATGCAGTCCATGCCCATAGTTTTCTGCCAGTTAGCACCCAGTACAATATTATCGGTGACAATATGTGCAACTGAACATCAACAGACAGATACCAGGTCTCTGCAAGACACTGCAAGATTATTTTGTTACAGTAAGACTAATAATAATTAAATCAATTTTTGGTTAAAAATAGGGTTACGATTCCAGTCATTACTTTCCAGGGGTCACAAAATCCTCGAGAGGTGAAACTTACTTATTCGACCCCAAAGCTAACGCCTTTAGACCATCAGAGCTCAAATCCACCAGGTCTAGCTTCTTCTACTCCACCAAACAGATCGATGAGATTTCTTTTCGAGGCGAAACCGTCAATGACCATGTAATATATGACCAATAAACATAACATAAAATTACTATAGACGTAACTTTGAGATATCATTATCTAATATAATTAGATACTAAAAATAAAATAAACATAACTATCAATGAATTGATCACTTAAAGGCCTTATCGATAAATCTTTGTTGGTAAAACAAATGAATCATAGTTCAATGAAGGTAAAAATTTCAATACTCAAATGTTAAGTAGACAATTGTTTAGTGTTTAGTATAAGTGTTAAGTAAAGATTAAATCAGATTACAACATATATTATCGATTTCTCACAACCTGATGAATTATCAAATGTTCTTACCGTAGACTTGGGATTGTACCAATTTTGTATATGCAATAATGCGGACCACCAATATTGCCTACAAGTGAGCACATTCGCGGCCTGTGTATTCCAGTTAGGACCGTCCGCAATGCGATTGTGGAAAGATACTAAGTAAAGTATCATAGCGGCAAGTATTGGAAACATTCGGAGAAGTCGACTCAGGTAGAAAATTGGCAGATTTCTTATTAGTTGAACTGTAAAATGAAAGAATAAATTTAGATTCATTTTCATCTCTACAACTTATGATGTTTTAGTACAATGCTACATAGCTTACTGTTATTTAGTTTTCCTGCGGTAGTGTAGACGACAAGAAGACCACTTATCATGAAAAACGTATCAACGGTGATAGGAGCCGATGTGATCCAGAAAGCCTTCCTAGATATTAACCACTGGAACGTATAAAGATTATCATCCATTATACCTATTTTGTAATTACATCGACAATTGTGATACTAAAGACCAAGTTGCCAAAAAAACAGCAATACTGCCATACATACGTACTTGAAAACCATCAAGTCGATTGAAGCTGAAAGCTACAGAAAAAATATTGTGCCCAGCGATGACCCAGAACATTGCCAAAGCTCTGATACCATCAATACAATACAACGAATTGGGACTCGATTTGAATGTAAGCAATCGTCGACCATTGGTATATGCGGAGAATGAACTGTAAAGGACGTTTATGTCTTTTGGATCTGAAAAATAAACATTTCAGTTACCTGCTGTGTTGTATCTACAATAGTAACTTTGACAATTGACCTCTGGTTGACCTTATTAATTGCAGTCAATCGTGACCAGATTGTTAATCAACTGCATGAGAGATACCTTACGCCTATATAGGCTACTAGCTGTATTCTGTGACTCTCTGTGACTATGTGTTCTTCCAGACTATGTTCTATACCTATACAAAATTTCATCCTTACATCCATACTGAAGATACCTTCAAACATCCATCCATCCGTCCATTCGCATTTATGATATTAGCAAGATTTTAGAAGTCTTAATTCAGTAATAGATTTCCATTGGCCAATTATAATTACTGAAGCAGTGTAATAATTCCGTCATATTTTTGAAGCTATATTCTTTGCCCGTGTCGTAATGTTGTTATAATAAATATTTAATTCACGAACGCAACCAAGCATAAACGGTGATCAATATATCGTTAACTTCATAGATAGTCGTGTGACAAGAACATTAACCTAAAGATAGCTTTGAAAATATTGATTTTACGCAAAAGCGATTGCTTCGATAAACAGAGATTTACACGTCTTATCGGTTTTATACATTTTGATATTTGCATCACGTCATTTTTTAATGTTTGCAACATTTTAATTTTAGTTTTTTCTAACGCGCCAGCGGAGTAACTAAGTAACTAATAAAATAAATTAAATACATACAAGTAAAACAGGCAATGGTAAAATAAACATATTATAATCATGAAGTGAATAATTAGAATAAAAACCTTTTCTGAGAAGTAATCTCAGACAAACATCGTAGATCGTGCTAACTATGACTAGCAGTCCAATTGTTGAAAACACCACACTAAAAAATAAATGACGATTATAAATTCATTAGCATCACTGAAACAAATAAAAAAGTATAGTGCGACATAGTTATCTAGCCCGGTGGGAGGCGCTCCTGTTGTGAGGACTGTCAGAAAATTTATAAAACCTAATAAGTAATAGAAAATGACACAAAAAAAAGACAAGACAGCTACAATTATAAAACGATTTAGAGACACAAGTTACACTTTTGATAATGACGGGGGGCGCTAGTAAGCTGTCATAATTTAGTGTGGCAATACACCGGGTCAAATAACTTTGTCGGTCTATAACAATTTTTAAATTATTATACATTGCAACATAATCTGCTGGTACCCATGGCTTATCATTCGGAAGGCGACAAAAATCTTCATTCACACTAATTCCTGTTCCAGTCAAGTTAAAGAAAAAGGCGGATAAAGCTTCTTGCGTTGTGCAAGATGCTGGTATACACATGCCAAATCCTGATTGAACCAGTGACATAGGATTATCTGCACCAACCCTAAAAATAAAACACACAATTTCTGGTAGCTCTGGTGGTCTGTTGTCTTACTCAAAAATGCAGTCTTATAGTCTAGTCAAAGTTTAAACACTCGGTAGAATATCTTTATTTAATCATGTTAGATCACAACAGAATCTGATAATTAATATAATCGTAATCCGTACCTGAACTAAACTAACCTATTAAAATAACGTCAAATAACGCTTACCTTATATTACGGTCAGTTATACCAAAAATTGGTTGAAAGCTTCCTTCTAGTTTTACATATTCATTAACCCTTGCGGTCATCATCTTATCTACTATATTTTTAGTATCAAAAGAAGGCAATTTGGAAAGAAAATTAATCATTTGTGAGTTATCGACCGCCGATACTCTCGCCATGCAATATTTTCCTTGAATATTCATATTTTCTGCACCTTCATTTATTTCCAAGCATTGATGATAATTGCCCAAGTCAACAAAGTTTCCCTGTAATATTCCTCTTGGTAGTCTTGCACTAGCATCTTGAACTGAAATAATATTTTACTAATATTATAAATGCGAATGTTTATATGGATGGATTTTTGTTAGAAGCTATACTGTAACGTTTCGGCGTATCTTGAAGACATTTGGCACATATAGAACATAGTGTGGAAGAACACATAAGAACAAAGAAGATAATCAAGACTCCAGGAAGTCTGTCTGGAGAATTAGAATTGAAAGCCACCTTTCAATTCTAATTCTCCACCATTTATGCCTTTTCCCAATTATTTGGGGTCCACACCCCATGACACAAATGGATGATGAACAAAAAATCTGTGTATCGCTTCAATTGCAGCATGAGACATTAGTGTTGGCACGTTGAGAATAAGTGTACTATTCTGCTCTGTGTGCCAAATCAAGCTCTGGATACTGTACTCATTTAACGAATGTGTTACATGATGCTTAAAATATATTATATAATAAATGTTATTAACACCAATGGAACCATAATCTATAATGTTACTTACATCGAAACATTAAAGCGGTGTTATTTTGCGTTAAAAAATCTAATTGTCTTCGACACAATTCCGGATCCAATACATCTTCGTATAGTTTTTTATCAAATGGATAATTAGAAGCATTAATGTTCACGTTCTTGAAAGCAATTCCATTACATAAACTCACTTTGATAACTAATAAAATAATTAAAAATATTTTAAACATAATGATATTTTAATTAAAAAAAAATATATATTTTACAAACAATAAGTCGTTTAACTCGTTAAAAATCTATCAACACTGTGTTATATAAAAGGGTTGTTAATATCACTGAAAAGATCTCAAGTATTTTCTCTTATCTTACTCGAGAACGGTGTTATTTAATTATTGATTTGTGAATCATCAACTCTTATTAGTTTTTACATAAGTGACATTAGAGTGATGTGTTTTCAGGCACATTTTATAGCTATATTATTGTAATTTCCTTTACAGCTTGATTTCAATTAGGGTGCGTACCTACTATGGCGTAACGATTAACTTATCGTCAGAAGACTCTAGCTTTTGCTATTACGATCGATTGACGTCAAAAATGTATATGTATTCAGCTGCTTTGATTGAATCGCAACAACAGTGTGTCTATGATTTGCCGTTTAGATGCCGTTCAGTGGGAATATGACAATCTGTACTCACCGTGAAAAAAGTCGCAGACGACAGTTAATCGTGTCGTCTTATATTTTTGTGAACCTCCATTTAAATTAACAAACCACGACATTAAAACTACACGGGTATGGATCGTTCTGAAAAAGTGGGAACGCGACCTTATAGGAACCATCAGTTACAGATTGCACGAATTTAAATATTAACATCAGAAACTACGTACAATTTGTTTAGAAAACCTATGTATCTATTCGAAAAACATGCTTGACAGTTTAAAAAAGTGAGTTTCGAATTCTTTTCTTTTTAAGGGCTAAATTAGCAACGTAGCTGTGAATCATTAAATTTGTTCATAATTACAAGTAAATCACATGTGAAGTGTATTCAAGTGTAATAATTAAGTATGTATTTATATATAAATTGATAATTTGTACGCAGTGAATCACTTTACATCTATTTTAGAATTACTAACAATTGGCAGAATAATAATATAATTTTCTCGCGCTTTCTTTTGTCATAATATATTTTGTCACTTCAAAAACTTACCGCTATAATTTATATAATTACTAACCGTGGGGTTCTGAGACTAATATCCCCGTTTAAAACATACATGGCCTTAGAACCCCACAGTAAGAAATACATAGTAGTAAGCAAAATATTGTACATAGTTAGAAGTAAATACGAGTATGTTTGTGGTTTTGTAAGGGGAACTGAAATGCAATCGGAGAAGTCGGTCTTGCACGTTTTAGCTTATTCACCGTCTGACGCAAATACAACAGGGGGAACGTGTACAGCATTCCTTAACTATTCAATTACTTAATAATACAAGATTTCTAGCTAAGTAATAAAGGCTTGAATACACGAGTTTACAATAAAATGAAATCACGTTACATAGAAAGATATTTAGATTTTTTTTAAACTCTAACCGTGGGTTTCTGATACCAGAATATCTGGATAAAATATATTGTTATATCTGTCATTATCTTTGACAAAACACTGTAAACAGTATGTTTATAAATGGATATTTTGGTCTTAGAAACCCACGGTTTGTAAAATTAACTTACGATAAATTTTACTTTTTATTCAAAGATAGTAAAACGCTTTGGTATATTGTAAAATAAAGCAGTTTTGGAAAATTGTATTCCTAACATAAAGACTACTTCAAAGTAATAATTTAAGAATAAAAGACCTTGCTAGAAATGCTAGATAGGTAAAATGGTAAATATTTGTCCATTTCTGTGCAGACGACCTCGAGGATTCCCTCCGTAAGCAACCTGGAGACATTTTATTATTTGTGTTACAAATTGCTTTTAGTTAACAAAACATTAACTTCCGTTTCATGTTTTTTAAAATGATATTTAAAGAGTCAATTAATTTTTAATTTAAAATTTAACAACAATGTCATAATTATATTTAATAAAATTGGAACCAAAAACCGAAATTTAAATAATAATATATTAACGTCTGTCTGTCTGTCCGCAACGCTGCATTTATTCCGAGTAATCTGCGGAATGACTTGGGTGTGAAGGTAATTGATACACGGGACATATAGGCTACTTTTTTTTTAAAACTCCACGCTGACAAAATCACGAGCAACATCTAGTCTTACTAATATTATAAATGCGAATGTTAGATAGATGGATGCATGTTTGTTTGAACGTATCTGCGGAACGGCTCAACGGATTTTGATGAAATTTGGCACTCATATAGAACACAGTCCGGAAGAACATAAAGATTACTTACTAAGCTTTTTTTTAATTCCGTGCGGACGGAGTCGTGGGCAACAGCTAGTTTATAATATTGTAGTACATATATATCAGGTAAGACTAAAAATACAAATTAATCTACAAATATTTATTGACGCAATGATAAGATTAGAAATCTGTGTATTCAATAAAATCTCATTGCTCAATACGTTCGATATTATTTTAATATGTACTAATTAAGTAATAACATTGTTGCGTTAAAGTGATTTTAAAAATGGAATTTAATTTATTTTTAATCTTATTAATTACAAGTGCGCCGTTCGTTGTATCTCAATCGAGAAAACATTTAAATCAAGATGTAAAATACTATCCATTCGATCAAAATTTGTACAGAAATGTTTTAAATCCAGAGTTATGTCAAGAACAAATAAAGTACATAAGAAACAATAGTACAATACTACAAGCCCGGTGTAAGTATCATTTTGATTTTGAAAATATAATAGCTTTTCTTTTAAATTATTCAAACTTTCGTGAGACATAACAAACTTATATAAAACGGCTAAAATACCAGTTCTACTCACCCTGTTGAAGGGCCAATGATGGACTCGAAACTAATCGGTGCCACCGGATGAATATACGGGAGTGTTTTAGCCGTTTTTATATAAGCTTTTCTTGTCTCTTCTAGTAATCAATCTAACTTAATAGAATGTCTTATTTATATTAACGTTAAAATAATAATGTTAGCAATACAGTAAAACTTATTTTTTAATTTTCATTTTCTTAACATAATTTTTAAGTTTATTATTTATTAACGACGAAAAATTATTTTAATTTATCTTCATAATTAATTAACCTGGTTTATATAATATTTCTTTTAATAATCTTAAAGGTAGAGTAATTTAAGTTTTCAATTCAATTTTCTTTACAGTTCTTGACGCCGGTCTACGTATACCACAGGGTATATTATTGGGGAATCAAATTCATTTGGGCAATTTCTACCAATGCTTAAATATAATAGAAAACGTGAAAGAAATGAATATTCAAGGAAAATATTGTTCATTGAAAGTATCACTTGGAGAGATTGGTTCATTACAAAATACAAATGACAAACATTTTTACAGCGAACCATATCATGTTAACATCGATACTGTTGTAGAAGTAACGAGATTAATGAAAAATGTAAATTACACAAGAGTGCGAACACTCAGTTCTAATTTAAAATTACCTTACAGTCCAGATTATGAAGTTAACAGGTATGTAACTTTTTTTTATTTTTTACACGCTTTGTACGCATATTTAGGTAACCAATCATCTACTACGAATTGTAAGATTTAAGGAAGCATTGAAAATGTTGTAGTAACAGCCCGATCTGAGGCTCCTGAGGGAGCCCTCGAGTTTAGTAACTCTTAAACAAGGTTTAGGCTAAGCCACATCTGCGCTCGGTCACCTAGAGCCTGGTGAAGCTGTTACCGGGTACCTCTTTACGGCAAACAGTGACTACTCAGTCACAAAAAGGATACAAAGTTAATGAGCTCAGGACATCTCCTGCGTCCAAGATATTTATCCAGATGCAAGGGAACATAATACCTCTAGTTCATGCCTGTGTTCTGGGTGGTATCTTAAATTTTGGATCATTACTACCTTATATAACTATTTAAACTGTAATTCTCAGCCTCAGCCTTCTCTTCTTTCCTTGATTCTACTAAACTTTTTAGCCGTATGGGACCGGACAATCCATTATCTGATATAGAATTTACTCTAGCGATTTGTATACCAGCGCCTTGCACTACACCAGAAGTTATTAACACTATTGTGGGAAATGTAACTGATATTGGTATCAACTATAAGGAAGACTTCTGTCGTCTTCCTAATGATAAACTATGGGCTCCGGTTGATTACGTCGCTGTGTAAGTTTGTAAACAAATTATTTATTGCTCATACGAAATTGTTATACGCAGTATTGTGATTCATTTTAATCTAAATCAGTCTTTGGTTTAACTTTATGACAGTCTGTATTTTTTTTTAATTTCGATTTCAGGGCTATATTCTCTACAATCGGCTTTTTAACTATTCTTAGTACGTGCTACGACATATATTATTCAAAAGTGCTTGTAAAAGGTAAGTTTATTACAAATAGGAGTGTAAGAATGTTTATTTCATTATATTTTTCCATTCGTAACAAAAACGGATATTTTTTTAATCGAAAATTTATGTTAACCTTCCTCAAATTTACTAATGAATAATATATATGTTTATTCGTAGATAAAAGGAATGTCAATTCTCTCTACATTTGCTGTTCAGTGTATACAAATACCAAACGCCTTTTAACGTTCAACAACGTTCCTAACTCACTGGATTGTATTGACGGAATACGATCGTTGGCAATGATATGGGTGATCTTAGGTCACACTTTTTACGCAATACCAATACACGAAAACCCCCTTGAAGTGTTTGAGGTAAGTCATCTACTAACAACATTTTTAAAGGCGGGTCTTTACTATTTATAATACGTCTATTACAACAATAATGCTATCCAATTTATTCTCTTTGAAATTGACAAAGCCAACTATATTGTTCGTATACTATAGTATTCCTAGTTATCTTACTAATATGAAATGAGAGTGTATCAATGTATGGATGGATATTTGAAAGTATCTCCGGAACGGCTCAACAGATCTCGCTGATATTTGGCGCATGCGTAAAACATAGTCTGGAAGAACACATAGGTTACTTAATATTTTTTTATTTCCACGCGGATAGAGTCGCGTGCGACAGCTAGTAACAAAATAAATTTTGGTTTTAAACTTCAGCAATGCATTGTTTATTCTATAATGGATATGTTGCTACTGAATAATATTATATCTTACGTCATTTAGATTTAATTATTGATAATAATCACCTTTTTTGGATAAGAATTTTTAAACAAATCGATGACATTGATTTATGTTTTTTTTTTTATGCAATTTAATGTAAAAAATCTGGATGAACGAGCTTTGCTCGGTATTTTTTTTATTGTGTTTTTTGAAATTATATTTAAGTACGAATTACTACTAAAATGATGAAATATGAATAATATTTTTCGATCTTACCGATAGAAAAAGTTAAGCTTATGTTTAAGTTGATTATCGATAAAACACGAATGAAATGTCATATTCTAAAAATGATTCCTAGCTAGATCGATTTATCGCCCCCGAAACCCCCTATATACTATTTAAATTTTATGAAAATTGTTGGAGCCGATTCCGAGATTCCAATTATATATAAATATATATACAAGAATTGCTTATTTAAAGATATAAGATTATATGGTATTTTACGTATTTCAGTGGGCAATTTCCCCAAAGGCTATTTGGATGACAGCTGGTCACATGACAGTGGATACATTCTTTCTTCTCAGCGGGCTTTTACTGGTTTATTCATCTGCAGGAAAATTAACTGGAGGTGCGTAGAAATATTTATAATGTCGAAAACATTACCACTCTATCAGATGGATGGATGAAAGTTTGTTAGTTTGTTAAAAGGTATCTTCAGAGCGGTTTCATGGATCTGAATAAAATTTGGTATAGAGTTGAACATAGTCTCTAAGAACACATAGGCTACTAATTAAGTTTTTCTTAATTGCGAACAGAGTCGCGGGGGGTAGGTAGTAATAAGTATAAATCAATCATTAATTGATAATTTTAATATGTACAAAAATGCATATTTGTTTGCTCGTGAAATCTGTTATAAAAAAGGCTAATTACCTTTTATCATTATTATCGTAATTAAAATCAAATAATATATGTCACGTGCAAGGAGAGTTTAAATACTTACACTTACTAGTCAGTTAGAATAGCTTGTTTATTGGTTGCCAAACTTAGCTGAAGTACTTTGGATTAAAGTTATTGAACTTGTTGAATAGTTATTAGCACTCCATACCCCATAATTCGATTACTGTGATGTCATACGAATTTTGCGGCTACGTTGCCATATTATACTTACTGTCTGAAATCAGCACAATTCCATGCGAAGAATAACTAGATCTAGTCTGATATAATAGATGAATCTGTCTTTGTACTCTTTGTGTCTAGCGTGGTTTAATTAGATCAGTCTTTTCTTATCTTATTTAAGATCAATCAATCAAATGTTTATCTTACAAATAATCTAATCTACATAAATAACATAGAATTACTATTTTACGTCATAGGCCACATTCAAATTAATTGTTTCTTTAGATAAAGTAATCAAGTAGTAAAATTCAAATCACAATTTCCTCAACGAATGAATGACATTGGATAAGATTATTATGTGTTTTTCCAAACATTTACATAGTGTTATCTCATATTTAAATGTTGTGTTATCGAATTACCCGTAGACGTGAACTAATGTTCATTGTAGTATTTGGCGATAAAAATTACATTGAGATGCTATACAGAAGCTTATTAAAAATATTAAGCTTAAAATATATTTTTAATGGTAAAGAAGAATTTTTATTTAAATGAATCCAATATGCTTAGTATTAGGACGATTTGGTGTGCTTTTAATCTTACTATGTTACTTGTAAGTGAGAATGTTTGGATGGATGTTTGTTATCCATCCAAACATAATTGTTGTTGGAGGTATCTCCAGAACAGGTCAATAGATCTCGATGAAATTTCTCATAGATTTAAATGTGCATAATCTCGAAGACCACATGATGATTTTTTTTTAATTTCGTTGTCTAGGAATATTGTAAATACGAAAGTTTACATGGGTGGATGTTTCTTAGAAGATATCTTCGGAACGGCTCAATGGATCTTAAAAAAAATTGCATAGATGTAAAACATAGTCTGGGAGAAAACATAGTCTACTTACTAAGTTGTTTTTATTCTTCGCCGACGGAATCGCGGGCGACAAGTATTAATAAATACAAGTTTATTCTCTATTATTTTTAGGAAAACTCATCCGGAGTCTACACATGTTCTATTTACATAGAATTCTTCGCTTATTCCCTATACTGGCGGCTATGGTACTGTTCGAAGCATCGCTATTCAATTATGTATCTGACGGCCCATTGTGGACGGGCCCGGCGTATAATGTACTCAGATGTAGACAGTATTGGTGGTCCACATTACTGCATATACAAAACTTCGTCAATCCACTTAATCTTGTAAGTTATTTTTAACTAGTTTTAAGTTAACATTTAAAACTAAGTTGTTATTATTATAAATGATAACATTAGATATACGGATGTTTGTAAAAATAAATCTCCAGAACGGCTGCATATATCTCCGTGAAATTTGGCATAGATGTAGAACATAGTCTTGAAGAACACAAGGGCTACTAATTAAGATTCTTTAATTCTGCGCGACAGCTAGCTTCGAAATCTTTTACTACAACTTTAGTTTAGTTAGTTTAGTGTTTAAAGGGAGGGTTAAATTGCCTCTGATTAGCTGTTAACGATATAATGACCTTGAATATTCCTTCTTATACTTGTATGATTATTTGTGTAAAAAAAGAACACGATCTTTATTTGTTTCAGTGTGTCGGAGTATCTTGGTATTTATCTCTGGATATCCAGTTACATATTTTATCGCCGATCATTTTATATTGGGTTTTAAGTCCGAAAAAGACAGCCGCGTGGGCGGCATTGACCTCTGGCCTAATAGCATCACTCATTGCCGCGACCCTTTACATTTTCATCAACGAATTCCAGTCTGGAATAATATCTCCTAAGTAAGACATCTAATTCTTTTATCACATTTACAAATTGTTAGAAAATAGTATTATACAAAACTCTATGAAATTGCATAGCGTGAAAGTTAGCGATTAAAATTGTCAGGTTTCGAATACTTACTTTGGCTTTTGTACTTTTAAAGTTCAGTGCGTTTGCGACATATTCAAATATTATACGTTTTAAAACCGACAATTCTTATCATAATCTTTTATGATTTGTTAATATAATAGAAACAAAAAGTAATTGCCTATCGATAAAGCGTAATGATGACGTACGTTGAGAATTTAACTATAAACTACGTTCATACACACTCATATAAAAACGGCTAAAACACTTACGTATCGTCGTCTGGTGGCGGCACCGACTAGTTTCGAGCCCATCGTTGGCATTATTTCGCGGACGCGGCCCGTCGCATAGGCCCCCGATGGACTCGAAACTATTCGCTGCCGCCACCAGTGTTTAAGCTGTTTTTATTAATATTATTGACACGCCAATTTATACCTATATCTACACATATCTATTTTCATTGTAACTTTTTGTTCATTGCAGCCGTCCTGAAGATAGTGATGATTACTTTATTTACTACTACATTAATCTATTAACACGAGCTCCTCCATTTTTTGTTGGAATGATTTTCGGCTACATTATATATTCATGGAAAGGAAAGAAACTCACATCAACAATGGTATTTATAAGAAAACCTTTACCTTTTTCAGCGTCGTTATCATCATGTTCAAAGTCTCAAAACCATTTCTTTTTGTAAATGAATTGTCATTCCCTAGAAGAGACATCTATACCTTCAACGGGCTTGAGGTGGTTCCCTCAGGAACCTCGGCTCGGGCCGTTACTTCGTTATTATTACTGGATAGGAAAATTAATTAAAGCATTAACACAATCACTTCTACAGACAGATAATACTCACATTATCGATCGTCTTCTGAGGGACTTTGATCTTAGTTTTTTACGTATGGTTTTATAAATATTCTTTATTAAAAGACCTTTTGTTTAGAAGTCTATATTGTTTCCAATGTTAGGAAGAAAATCCGACACTTTATCGGCGCAAGACTAGCCTTATTAAATTTAATGATTAACACTTATGTCGCCTCACTAATCGATTTAACATTTGATCAACAACATTAAAAAATCGCGCTATTCGCTCCAAATAATTTTAACTAATATTGTCTTAAACTAATATGATTCTTTACAGGTAATCGCAATGATGTTTTGGCTCTGCTGTCTCTCCATATTCGGTATAATATTGTACATGTTATATATCAACATGCAGTTGGAATGGGACAATCAGACCGCTGACAGCTTCATCAACTCCTTTGTGAGACCCTTGTGGGGACTTGGCTTGGGTTGGATAATATTTGCTTGTGTTAAAGGATATGGAGGTAACTATTTCAAACTCTTTTATGACTGTTCAATTTCACATCACCATTTGTACTTAATTTGCATAATAAGTATTATATTTAATATTTACTAATCTACCATTTAAATAAACCACACGGAATACAGACGTCAAGCAGATATAATATTTTAGCATCTCTCTTTCAATTGATGTGTATGTATTCCGGAGACCTAATTTCAGTTCTTTTTCCTTTTCCTTGTAAGGAAAGGATAGGAAGGGAAAATAGATTTGATGAAGAAGGGAAAGAGTGGTAGAACCCGCTTTAACATCTTCGCACGAATTGGCCAGGTTCGCCCGGTGAAATACCACCACCACACAGAAAACAGGCGTGAAGTGGAAGCAATTCCGCGTTTCGTCTGATGAGTGAGCGTCCCGGAGGCCTAATTTAGTCCTCTTTCCCTTCCCACCCTTTTCTTATAAGGAAAGTATGGGAAGTGGAAGTGGACTTTCCGGATGAGAGGATGCATGGAAAGGGAAAATATTTTCTTTCTGTGCATCCTCTCCTCCGTCGATTAAAGGTAGGCAACGCATATGCAATTGCGTATGTCTCTGGGCAACGGTCACTTCGCTACTTCAGCAATTTCATGTGGCCGCTCGCTCGTTTGCCACCTTATGATATAAAAAAAAAGCATAAGAAGAGAAATTGATCTCATTCTGTGCGTCTCCTTCTGCATCGATTAAAAGTAGGCATCTGCAATTGTGGATGTCTATGGATGTCGTTTCAGAGAATAAGCTACCTTGTAATATAATTATTTAATAATAATAAATTTTATTATAGGTCCAATTAACTGGTTCTTATCTCTATCTGTATGGAAGCTGCCGGGTCGTCTATCTTACGCCATGTACATTATTCACTTCTCAATTATGGTGGCGTATTACAATTCTAAATTAGCTCCAGCGTATTTCACAGTATCAAGTGTGGTAAGCGTTTAATGTGTTAATAACTTTATTACATTTTACTGAAAATTCACAACTGAGTATAATAATAAAAAATACTATAATACATAGTTAATTTAAGTTTCATTATCTCCAAATTTTGGTTCGAATTGATTCATCAAATTTAGCGTTTTTTTATGCAATGATAACCTTAGTAAGATACCCTTA